GGCCCAGAGCTTTCAGGTCCTCTTTCAGTAGGCCATCCTTCTAGCACCCCCGTGAATTTAACAACCCAGAAGCTGACCACACCCCTTTCCTTTGGGGTTTTTATGGAGGCTTCATTACATAGGTGTGGTTGATTGAATCATTGGTTGATCAAATCATTGGCCACAGGTGACTGAACTCAATCTCTAGCCCTTCTCTCCCTTACCCAGAGGATGGAAGTTGGGGCTGAGAGTTCCAGCCCTCTAATCACATGGCTGGTTTCCCTGGCAACCAGCCCTTTTCCCCCACCCCCAATCCTTAGGGACTTCCCAAAAGTCCCCCCCCACACACAAATAAACTAAACTCAGGTGTGGTTGATATGAGCTTGTTTATCACCTTTCTCACTCTTATCACTGAGGAAATTCCAAGGCTTTTAGAAGCTCTGTGCCAGGAACAGGATGAAGACCAAATATATATTTCTTGTTATAAATCACAATAGTAGACTATGGCTCTATCCTGAATAAAATGGAAAGTGTATAGTTTGTAGTAAAAATAAGGAACCAGGTGCTGGCTGAGGTGTTCTTTCTTTCTCTCTCTCTCTCTCTCTGTTATGTTTATTTTTGAGAGAGAGACAGAGTGAGACGGAGACACAGAATCTGCAGGAGGCTCCAGGTTCCGAGCTGTCAGCACAGAGCCGGATGTGGGGCTAGAACTCACAAACTGCGAAAACATGACCTGAGCCAGTCAGATGCTTAACCAACTGAACCACCCAGGTTCCCCTGAGGTTTTATTTCTTTCAATCCTCATCAGAACCTACAAGATGGATACTATTATTCCTCATTTTACAGTTGAGAAAACTGAGAACCAGAGACAGTGAGCCTGATGGTAAATGATGGAGCTGGGCTCAAATCTGGGCAAGCTGGGTTTAGAGCCCATGTCTAGGAAGCGTTTTCATCCCTTGGGGATCAGCAGCTTTAATCAAGTAACCTCATCGGTTAGCATAATAAATTAGTATGATTTCCCCCAGCTTCCAAACACATCCTTCCCTTGTTTCAGATGATTGTGTCCAATGATACCAGAAGTTGATTGCAGTGACTGAAGAAGTGAGTAGGAACAGATTATAAGGAAATGAGAAGTGATTGCCTGAAGGGGAACAATAAGGAAAGATTAAGTTGGGAAAGGACTAAAAAAGGAAGCCATCATGGGTGCCTCATGTGCAAATCATTTGCCACTCTTCGAGGTGGAGGTGATCCTCTCTCATGAGCTGGTACTTCTGTGGGTATGACATCTGCAGCCCCTTCCTTAGGGGATTTTCAGAAGAAAGTGGGGATGGCTGCTTGCAGATGTTACAGAGGCACTGCTGAGTGGGATGATTTACTGCCTGGGAGTGTCCCACTGGAAGGGAAGGAGACACGTGTTGGCAAGGATAAGTGAGGAATGGAAACAGGCAAGACTTCTTCCCAGGAAGGTGGCCAAGACCCCTGGGCCAACTTTGGTGGGGATTCCTATTTTGAGAGGTCAAGGTTGAACCTGTGTCTTGCAAGATTCCTCCTCCTCTGAACCCCAGGCTGCCCTGGCCTTTTCAAAGTAAAAGCTCCACTTCTTCTACCTACTTTTATGGAGAACCTTCCATGAGCCAGTCCTGTGTGGGTCCCCTGGGGGCTTAAAAGATGAAGTCTGCTTTCAGGGAGCTCTCAGGTTCTCAGAAAGCAGGATATGCAAAGCTTACCAGCAAGGAGGCTCTGGGGTGGGACTGCCTGCCTTTAGATCTAGGCTCCACAACTTGCCTTGCTGTGGCATCACCACGAGTAGGTTACCTAACTTCCCTATGCTCAGTTTGCTCACCTGTGAAATGATATTTCCCTCACAAAGTAGGGGAGAAGTTTGTAATTAGAACGAATGTAAAGCATTTAGCAAACTACCTAGCTCATGGTAAGCATTCAATAAATGATTTCTGTTATAGGCATGAGGTGGAGGGGACCGATAAACAGAAGCGAGGTAAGAGGTTGTGGAAGCACAGAGGAGGAAGTGCCTAACTTTCCTGGAGCAAGTGGTTCTTACTGATGACCTCACCAGCCGGCTTTGTTCCGTTGGGAGGAGGTCTGATCTTGAAAATGTTCCCCAGGTAATTCCAATATACTCTCTGCCTCAGCCCCCAGAAAACCTTACCTACCCTTTAAACTTTTATTAAAAATTACATTTCATAAGCCTTGAAAAACAAAGAATCACCTGCAACACATCCATCATTAGTATATGATGCCCCCCTCTTTTTCCTCATGTATCTTGTTATTGTTTTAATAGTTTTAATCATAGTGCATGTGATGGTTATTATGCATTTTTGCCTGACTATGTAGTCCTAGGCATTTTTACTACATTGTTTTCCTAGTGGATTTTTTTTTAAGTAGGCTTCACACCCAGCACGGAGCCCAATGTGGGGCTTGAACTCACAACCGTGAGAACTGACTGAGCCACTCAGGTGCCCCTCATAATGCATTTTTATTTTGACTTTTTCTTTTCTAAATAGAAGTGGTTTATGTTCTCTTAGACAATCCCAGACCATCTGAATTGGCATAAAAAAGAAAGCGCAAATCTCATGTAGTCCTACCACTCAGAGGTAATCACTGAACTTTTTATGTGTTCTTCTGGATTTTTTTCTATGCAAATACACACTATAGACTTTTTAAGTTTAAAACAGTTTGTTATTTTATAACTTGTTTTTTCCCTGAATCATACATCACAGATAGGTTCCCATGTCAGTAAGTATAGGCATACATCTGTTTTAATGACCACAGAGCTTTAATTTTATGTCTATATCAAATTTATTTAATCATCTATTGCTACATATTTAAGTTATTCTCTTTGTGTGTAGTTCTCCACGCGGAGTAATCCCATAAGTTACTTAAATGTTTAGCTATTTTGGGATATTTAGGTAGTTTCTCTTCTTTTGTTTTGCTATAATAAATAACAATGCATTGAAAAATCTTTAGGCATATGACTTTCCCCATATTTTGAATAATTTCCTGGAGTGGAAGTATTGAGTCAAAGGCCAGGGACATTTTGACTTTTGATTTGTATCACTAAGTTGCTGTTTCAAAGCACTGTTTGTGCAAATTTAGATGCTTCCAGGAATATGTTGGTACCAGTTTCCTGCCTCCTATCCCACTACTGAAAGGTGGTAGAGGAGGTGGGGATATTCTTCTTAAGAAGCCAGTAGCAAAGGAGGCGGCCATATGGACTAAAGGGGACACGATGGGGGGTACAGAAGAGGGGAGAGTGAACATGGAGAACGGAGGGAAAGAAATGACCAGAAACAACCATTTTGCCTGTATTTTTTTTCCAATTGGAAAAGTAATTCATGCTCCTTGTAAGAGACAAAACCAAAACAAACAAACAACAGCTACCACCACCAGCAAACTTTTTCATAAACATTTACATTTAATATTGCAAGTTCTTCTCTGGTGACAGGCTCTGTTAACAGTTTAGGTATATGCTTCCAGATTACTTCTTTTACAAATATTAATGTGTAATTTATTTTGCTTTTACAGACTAGCTTCATACTCTACACACTGAAGTGCAACTTACACACCTTTGTGTGTATCTTAAACACTTTTGGAATGACTACTTTAAGTTTGCAGGTGATTTTTAAACATCTAATTAGAATATAATGAGAAGCAATATTGCCCATTTCGCCTGCCAGAGGGCTCACCCTGGACCTCATTAGCAGTTTCCCCGAGGCTGTTCTGCAGTGTGGGGGGCGGGGGGGGCGGGGCAGGTCTGCTGCTGCCTCTGTTCCCCCTTTCCAGCCAGAGACATCCCCAGGGGCAGCCGTTTGCCCCTGCTGAGGGGGCTCAACCCAGACAGCCTGCAGACCCTCCGTGGGTCAGGAGGCCAATAGCCAAGAGAGAAGGCCGGAAGCTGCTCACCGTCGTACGGGAGCGTCAATTTGGCTGCGTTGCCTGCCGCTTACGGAAGGTCCTGGAACTTCTGTGCCTAAGGATGAACCCAATCATTGTTGCAAAAGTTTCAGGTCTGAGCAGAACTAAACTTCTCACCTCAGGGCAGAGAAGGACAGAGGCCTGTCTTTATGGCCTCTCTCCGCAGGTCTGGACACCACCACCAAAGTGACATAGGTGGTTGCAAGTGCTCCACCCCAAGCCTACCTGGGCTCAGAGGGTTCCACAACTGGCCCTGGGCGTACCCCTCACGTGAGGCCCGCAGGTTCCCGGCGCCCGGCCTGACTCAGCCTCGCAGCTTCTGCAGAACCACTTGCCAGCCCCGTGACTCAGTTTCTCCATTTGCTCACGTGGGCCAACCGCGTGAGGCACCTGTGTGGAATGCAGAAGGTGTCTCCAACTGCTTCTCTAGAGTACGTGACGTGCTCCCAGGCGGAGGAGCCCCAGAGACGGGCGCTTACGCCTCCCATAGAGCTCCTGCGGGACGTGCCCTGCACAGGCCCTGGTAATGAGTCCGTGCTAACTAGGGGCTGTGACCCGACCAGGTGCACCCGCAGGGATGCTGAGGCGACGCCCACCTGTGACCCGCCGGTCCTGGTTGCTGAAGGGCTCAGGCCAAGGAGGGGCTGCCGGAGAGACGACCAGTGCCCGCGTCGGTGCCCACTGCCCGCCGCCTGACGCAATCCGAGGTGCCCTTGCTGCATGCCGGAGCTGGGAAAACCTCCCCCGCGGTTGCATCACTCCTGCCAGATTTGCTACAGAGGTGGAACCGAGCCAATCAGCGGGCGAGCTGGGTCTGGGGCAGGTCCCTCAGTTACCCACTCAGAGGGCGGCGCGGTTAACCGGGAAGCAAAACACGAAGGTGATTGGTCAAAAGGGGATTTGCCCCGCCCCAATCACCGCGACAGCTGGCGCGGTGGGCGGGGGCCCTCCTGGCCGGAGGGTTTAAAAGGCGCCTCCGAAGGGGCCGCGTAGCTGGAGCGACCAAGCGGTGCCAGGCCAGGTGTGCGCGTCCGTTGGTCCTTCCGTGCCCGCGCCGGAGACCAGCCCCGGAGGCCGCCGGGCTCGTCCCTGTGCCCGGCACCATGAAGCAGGAGTCCACAGCCCAGAACACCCCTCCCGCCTCGCCGCCCACTTCGTCACCGGTGCAGCACCCCCGGGATGACGGTGACCCTCAAGCCCTGTGGATTTTCGGGTACGGCTCTCTCGTGTGGAGGCCCGACTTCGCCTACAGTGACAGCCGTGTGGGTTTCGTGCGCGGCTATAGCCGCCGCTTCTGGCAGGGAGACACCTTCCATCGGGGCAGCGACAAGATGGTGAGCATCTGACTATGCTCAGGGGAATGCAGGAGTTGGGGGCAGGGTAGTGGGCACCAGTGCCCTGGGGTTCTCTGGGCAGCCGGTGCCTCCGTGCTGGTGGGGGAAGTGTATAAACCTGTGCTTGGGCTTTGTGGCTTAAATTTCTGTGCCCAGTAGATCACTGTGATGGCTGGAATCTGTGATCCTGTGGATCACAATGTTGATGAATGTTTCTGATTTATCAGTTTGGGCCACTGCCATGTGTCTGTTTCTCCTGTAGTCATGCATCACTCTCTCCACTTTCCCCTGGATGCGTGGGGTTCTCTGAGGCCTGGGCCAGCAGTGTTAATAAGGGTTTCCTTTAGGACCGGTGGCAGAGCTGATTCCTAACTTATCTTTTTAAAAATCTTTCCTTTCTCCTCAGCCTGGCCGTGTGGTGACCCTACTTGAAGATCATGAGGTAAGTGTCCAAGTCAAGAGAGAGACCCCATAGGGCCTAGCATGGAGGGTCTAAGAGAGCTTATGTGTCCTTGGCTGCAGGCTAGATTAGGTGCCACACTGGCTGAGCGGAAGGGTGGTCTAGCTCAGTGCTTTTCCCAAGAATCCTCTGAGGACCTTGTTAAAATGCAGATTTCAATTGAAATGGACCAGGGTGGGGCCTTAAATTTCTCACATTCGACTTAAGTGTACAGATGATACCACTGGTTCTCAAGCCACACTCTGAGTAGGAATCCTCTTCTGCCTTGGGGCAGACCACCTTGTCAGCCCTTGTTAACAAAGGGAGAATGAGCTTGATGTATTGCTACTAGATGACTCATCAGTCCTCTGCCCACTTGCCTTATAGAGCGCAGACCTGAGGTGGGACCAGCCAGGAGCTATTTTGACTGACCCCGGTGTCCGTGTTTCCTCCTAGGGCTGCACTTGGGGTGTGGCATACCAGGTTCAAGGTGAGCAGGTGAGCGAGGCCCTGAAGTACCTGAACGTGCGGGAGGCAGTGCTTGGTGGCTATGATACCAAGGAAGTCACCTTCTACCCCCAAGATAACCCTGACCAACCACTCAAGGCATTGGCTTATGTGGCCACCCCACAAAATCCTGGTTACCTGGGCCCTGCGCCTGAAGAGGCCATTGCAACTCAGATCCTGGCCTGTCGCGGCTTCTCTGGTCACAACCTCGAGTACTTGCTACGCCTGGCAGACTTCATGCAGCTCTGTGGGCCCCAGGCACAGGATGAGCACCTGGCAGCCATCGTGGACGCTGTGGGCACCATGCTGCCCTGTTTCTGCCCCACTGAGCAGGCTTTGGCACTGGTCTGAGGGGTTGAGCCCCTACAGGGAGTGCCCACGTAGACATGGGGCCACATCCCTACTCCTGTGGCACACAGTGGACTTGATACAGCTGGAGGTCACTGAGAGGACTTGGTGGGTGGCTGGGAGCTTCTCTCCCTAAGCCCCTGCCTATCCCAGCAGTCTCCAGTTCTGCTGCCTGACACTGACTTATTACTTGAAACTATTTATTGCACCATGTTGGTGTAGTGGGCAGGGTGGGGGGCCTGCCCTGGACATAGGGGCCCTGCTGAGCGGTGCCTGACTAGATTCCCCCCAGTGCTGCTGCTAACCCCATACCGCCCAGGCCACTGGCTCCCCATCCCCAGACCAACTGTTCCTAGCCCTGGAAATATACCACCTGTGAAAAGTCCCAGCCTGCTGGTAAGGGACAGGAGGAATTGAAGAGAAGGGGGCCTTACAAGAACTGAGCTACCTGCGGGTCTTGCTCTTCCTCTTCCTCCCACATTCCTAGGGCAGAACTGGATCTGGAGCCCAGGCACAGTTGCCTGGGCTTCTTTTAGCCATCTGGCTTTGTTTCCCTGTCCCTCTGTTTTCTTGTCTGTTGAGGCCTATAGCTCCTCACTAAAGGCCTGGTACCTTCTCAGTCTGACCGATACTGTTACCCATAAACTGATCTCTTATTATCTGTGTTGTGCTGCATTGTGGTTCTTTCTTCAGATGGGACATTGGGGCAAGTAAGACGGTAAAGCCCTGAAAGACTCATGAGAGGGGCAGGGGCTCCCTCTTGTTCTCCATCCCTCTCTTCCAGGGGGCTGAGCAGGCAGGACCAGCAGCCAGGGCACAGCACTCTCACGGGCACCATTCACAACTAAGTGTCGTGCAGAATTCAGCCCATGTGGCTCTACTCGGCAGCCCTGTAGGCAGTGTTCCTCCCACAGACCTGGTGCCCTGCTCCTGCTCTCAGCTGCCCCAAATAGGCCAGCAGGCTTAGAGGTCACACCAGGTCTTCCTCTAGCTGCTGCCTCTTCGTGACAGCATGACTGGACCCCTGGCTTCCTGCTAAAGGAGCATGTGGGTTAGGGTAGGGTGGTGATGACTTGAGTAGTGCTGATAGCAGAGAGCTCTGGCCTGGAGGACCTAAGTGGCCCTGTGATTTTGAGATCAAAATTGTGTTTACTGTTGTCTGCTGGGACTGTGGTGTGATCTGTGCTTTCTCTGTTAACTTGACCTGCCAGGAGTCTTGCTCACAATGGAATGAGTTGCCAGGGTGCCCTCTTGGCTGCTACTTGTTACTCTCTGTGTGCCCCTGGCTGCTCCTCCCCACCCTGATCCACAGGTGCAAATCCCAGCCCCAGGGTCTCAGAATGACGTCTCAGTGGGCTCAGCTTCTAGTCCTGGGCCTGCAGAATGGGTATAGGGCCCAGGTGACTGCCTTCTTGCAGCAGAAGAGCCTGCTTGCACCCCAGCCTCACTGGCCTAGTGACCTCCAAAAAACTCTTCAGTCCCCTGAGCATCAGTTTACATCGGGACGCTATGTGGTATGTTTTGCTGCTGCTGCTGTTATGGCTGGTGCCCTGGATTGGTCTGGGTGTCCCCAGAGGGGTCAGCTCTGACCAAGTTGGGCAGCTGTTGTGCCCGGTGTGTTGGTGGCCTCGTGTCTTACCATTGATGGGAGAAGTGTGGAGTCCAGCCAAGTTCTTCTGGGAGTTTGTCAGGGCAACACAGCAGGAGGGGGCAGCGGGTGGCAGGGAGACTTGGACAGTGCCTCCTGGGCCAGGGCAGGGTAAGACAGCCAGTTTGGGTGCTCAGAATAGAGCCCTGCTCTCTACCGAGCAGGGGTGGGGAGGGCTTCCTGTCAGCTGTACATGGGCTCCCATTCTTCAAGCCTTATTCATTCAAGTATTTACTAAACTGCTGTATGCCAGACACTGACCTGGGCACTGGGGATATGGCAGTGAAGCAATCTTCCTCCTTAGGGTACTAAGAGACTCTGAATGGGACCATTTAGCATGAAATGTGCTGTGATGGGAGGCCAAGAGTGGGCTCCTGACATGGAGGTGGTGGTCAGGGAAGGCTTTCTGGGGGAGGGAATGACGAGGCCAAGCTCTGAGCCTGAGAAGGGGTCTCTGGTGAAAAGAGGCAAGGAACAACTTGTGCAAGAGAAGGAAGAAAGGTCAGACTGGCTGGGACAGAGTGGACAGAGTGGCATGGGGGATTGGACACGGGACTGGACAGGTGGCAGGACCACATCCTGTGGCTGGGCCTGATTAGCTGTGCTGTAGAGGTGGCATCCCTCCTGGGTTGGTGGGGGCCTCCTGTGAATTCTGAGGGAAAAGACTGCTTAAGAGGAGCCCTGGTTTCTGTCAGGTTGGAGCAGGAAGGCCAAAGACAGCCTAGGGAAGGATGAAGGTGGCCTGAGCTGAGGTGAGGCAGTGGGGACAGAAGGGAGGATAGATCTGACAGTCGCCAGGGCATGAGGCTGGCAGGGTTGGGTGTGGCTGGATGAAGGGGAGATCGAGGGAGGGGTAGAGGTCCAGGGCTGCTAGTACAGTTGTAGGTCTGGAAGGGCAGGGGTAGAGATCAGCTCTGCATGAGTGTTTGATCTGGGGGTGCCTGTGTAGGGCAATGGCATCCACATGGATATTCAGGGGGCAGCTGGGGAATGTGGGTCTGTGATTCAGAGAGAAATATGGGCTGGAGTGAGAGCTCTGGGGCCATACACACGGAGACAGTACTTGAAAGCCTTGGAAGTGGGGAGAAAAGAGAACAGGGCCCATGCTCAGCCCTGGTGGCTTGAGTGAAGCAAGAAAAGTGGAGAGCAAGCAGCTGGAGAGATAGAAGAACCAGGGTAATGCTGCTGAATGGTCAGGGCAATAAAGAGAGAGGAGCGTCCATTAGATGAAATAGCAGAGGGTGCTCTGTGGCCTCAGAGCAATTTCAGAAGAGTGGCATGAAGCCACAGAGCTGGGGAACCTGTAGGAGGGGAAGGAGATCACTGAAGAAATTGATTGCTAGGGCACTGGGTAGCTCAGTCAGTTAAGTGTCCGACTTCGGCTCAGTTTGAGCCCCACATTGGGCTCTGGGCTGTCAGTTCAGAGCCTACTTCAGATCCTCTGTCTTCCCCCCCCCCCGCCCCTCCTCCACTCATGCTCTCTCTCTCTCTCTCAAAAATAAATATTAAAAAAAAAAAAAGTGCCTGGGTAGCTCAGCTGGTTAGTGTCTGACTTGGGCTCAGGTCATGATCTTGCGGTTCGTGAGTTTGAGCCCCGCATCGGACTCTGTGCTGACAGCTCGGGGCCTGCAGCCTCCTTGCGATTCTGTGTCTCCCTCTCTATCTGACCCTCCCCTGCTTGCGCTCTGTCTCTCTCTCTCAAAAATAAAAAAAGAAATTGCTGAGAGACGCAACAGAGGGGTGATGGAAGGTATGAGGATGTAGGGTCTCAGGACTTCTTTACAAATTAAAAACTGAGGATCCCAGGGGTTGTTGTTTACCTGGGATATAACATTTGGCAACATTTAGTGTATTAGAGATTCAAATGGAGAAGTGTAAAATGTTACTACTAAAAATAAAAACAATCTATTACATGTTAATGTATTTTTATGGGCACCTGGGTGGCTTAGTTGTTAAGGGTCTGACTCTTGATTTCAGCTCAGGTCATGATCTCACAGTTTGTGGAATTGGAACTCTGGTGCTGCTTGGGATTCTCTCTCCCTCTCTGTCCCTCCCCCACTTGCGTACTCTCTCCTTAAAATAAACTTTAACATTTTTAAGGAAAAATGAATCTTTTCCAAAACAAGCAAATTTAGTGAAAAGAACAGCGCTGTTTTATGTTAATTTTTTGCTTGATGAAAGCAGCTGGGTTCTCATTTGTTTCTGCATTCATTTTGTTGCAAATCCACCTTTCATAAAGTTATGGAAAACTCCACTCTACACTTGAGAGGAAATGTGAGTAAAAAGGCTGATAACCTCGTAGTTTGACTATGAAAATAATTTTGACCTTGCAGTCCCCCTGAGAGGGTTTTGGGGATCCACAGGCATTCCTGGGCCATTTCTTAGGACTTCTGGTATAGTGGCATTCAAAAAAAATTATTTATTTTTTGCTGGTGGGATTCAAACAGAGTGATGGTTGAGTGCCGAGGCCTAGGCTGCAGCATTAAGGGATTTCAGAGTTAGCAGGCAACTCGGGAATCAACTTGTCCATCTCCAAGGGCACCTTTCTGGAGAACCAGGAGTGAGTAGGAAGGATCAGCCAGTTCAACTGCTGTTTATTGAGTCTATGGTAGGTCAAGCTCCCGCTGTGGAAGACGGGAGGCACAGGAGTGCCCTCACACCTGGTCTGGGTAAGGGCAACTCCAGGAACTTGGGTTGGGGCAGAGGTGGTCAGGTCTAGGAGGGCCTTAAAGAAGCTGCAGGAATCCAGCAGGCAGAGGAGGCATTCCGGGTGTGTGGGGATGGCACAAGCAAAGGGGAAAGCGATAGAGAGCAGCTGGTAGGTGGCCGCGTGCAAGAAGCCTTGCAGTGTTGGCGACAAGGCTGAGAGCTACTCTGCAGTCAGTTCATAGAGGAAGTGTTAGACTTTATCTTGTAGGGAAGTTGAGTTCTATAGTGATGTTTTTGTTTTTCCTCCCACGGAAGGGTCTTTTTGTTCTTTTTGTTTTGTCTACTTGGAGTATTGTGTTCAGGCTTGGGTTTAAGTGTTGTGTCAGGGAAGATGATTTGAAGGCTGCAAGACCTGGTGTGTACCTGTTGCCATGTACCCAGGCAGGGGCTGGGGAGGGCTGAGCTAGAACCAGGAACTGGTAATGTGGGGACACCTCCTGGCAGCCCGTTAGAAATGGGGGACAAGTAGGAGGGAGGAGGCTGGGGATCCCAGGGTTTTGCCAGGGGGTCATGGACAGGCAGGGGGACATGGGTGAACCCCACTCTGGCCTCTCCACACACCCTTCTAGGGTGGACAGGCTCCTAGGGGTTCTCCAGGTTGTCCCCCACTGGGCACCAGGAAGGACCACATTCCTCTGGGGGTTGC